GATATATACCTGGAAACAGCCAGACATCAGACTCTTCAATTGTCTTTGATTCCTATGATGCTAAGACATTTTGCACCTGCCACAAATTTGGCCCTTGTCACTAGGGCTCTTGAATCTATTAAAAAAAAAAAAAAAAAAAAGTTCATCATCTAACCATTGTTCCCAGGCAGGTCCGTTAATTAGAAAGAGGTTATTCAATTAACTGCTAGTTTCAGTAATTTTCTGCCATCACTTAAGTTGGACAATAATCCAAAGTATAGCACATCCTGCCATCAAATAATTCAAAGAAAGGTAGGACAACTGAAGCACTTAAAATTTCAGTTAAGCAATGCTTCAGAAGAGTTAGAAAGAATTAGTGTTTGTGCTTGGATCTGTGGGGTTTTCCCACCAGACTCAAGCTTGCTAACATCGACTTCTTGTTTTCCAAACTTTCATGCAAGAAAAACTTATGCTATAAAAGAACAAAACCCTTAACAGAAACAAGAAAAAAGAAAAGAAAATTGTTTTCTTGTAGGCTTGAGGTCAACAGTTGTCTCTATTGCAAAACTATAGTCTCGGCAACCCCTCAGTGTGTTATTTTATAACCATTGTCCTGAAAACCACTATGAGTCAAAGTCTATTCAAGCGAGGGAAAGTGACATAACCACTGGTTACCAGTAGCAATGCAATGACAATCTCTCTATCAGGGATACGCCACCAGTATTTACATAGTTACATAGCAGACGCTTAAAGAGATAAGTCCTGGTATAAAGGGAGGGTTTCTAGCAGCACATGAATTCAAGATAGGGAATGGAAATAGATTATCAGAGAAAATGTAATCAGCATTTGTGCTCTGAAAAGAACTTCCACAGTTTCTATTTACAATGTATGAAGGCATCTGCAGGGCTAGCTGACAGTCTGATCACTTGGGACTGAAATGAGTCTCAAAAAAGCACTGTGAAACATACTTCTGGGAATTCTCTTACACCAGCAGGGACAGGGCTGAAACATTTCAAGAGAAAAGGGCATCTGTGCTTATGAACCACTCCCGTGGTGGAAGCTGTATGCTTAGGAGGGTTCAGAACACGGACCTTTATCCAAAGCCAGAAAATAGTTAAGACCTTATCACCAATGGCCTATGGGCAAGAACTCTGTGACTTCTTAGGGGAGAAACAAGCTGGTTCTGCCTCTGCTAGTTCCTGGTATGTGTGGTGTTTGGTAAATGTTAGTACTTTGTGGGGTGTGACAGGTACAGAGCAAGCCGTACAGTCACTAACGGCAAAATATTTTAAAGCCAAGACAATAATTTACTGTTCACTACAAATCAAACAATTACAAAATATTTGATTCTGACATCAGGCCTGGCTCTGCAAAGACTGTTTTAGCAAAAACAGCTGTGTAAATTGAATGTACATAATCTAGATATGCTGGGGTGTTTTTATATAACACATCCTGAAAGCATGGAGTTTTCATACATTCATACATATATTCATGGACTTGGAGCAGCAGTGGGTCATGAGGTGTACTTGATTAGGAAGAAAAAAAAACGGCAAAAGAAAAAAGAAAAAAAACCCCACCCCAGCAACCCCCTACCTACCTGCATTGTTCATGAGATCAAGAACGGATTTATCCTTCAGTTAAACAGAAGTTAAAGCTAGGAGGTGACTCACTCTGCAAAAGCACATCTCCCTTGTATGATTTTTCTACAAAGGGAGGTTTAATTTCTCCCTTTTCATGACAACGAGGACAATACTGATCTTCTTCCAGCAGTTAATGGCTGGTGTAACAGGCAGTAGGAGAGCATGACTACATTCTTCAGCCTTCTTCTGAAGCTACAATCTGCGTCACACTTTGAGACCACAAAAACAACCATCAAACCTGTTTGTTTCTCCTCTCAAACACAGCTAACCCAAGTGTGAAATTCTGACCTACTAGTCATGCTGACAAAGCTCCTTCTCTACTTGAAGCAGGGATGTGAAAAGTCACATCACAAATACAGCCACAGATGGCTTTTTATTTTCAAGTGCTCTGCACACACTGTAATAGCCATAGAATCATAGAATGGTTTGGGTTGCACGGGACCTTAAAGATCATCTAGTTCCAATCCCCCTGCTACAGGCAGGGACACCCTCCACTAGACCACGTTGCCCACAGCCTCATCCAACCGGGCCTTAAAGTCCGTAGGCAATAACAGATTTGGACTGATGGCCCATGGAGTTGAGCCAATTAAAAAAACCAGACAAACAAACAAGAGGGAGGTCTGACCATTACGTCAGGAAGCTACACTTACAGTTGGAGAACAGGAAGTGAAGACATGCGAGTTCTGTGATATTTTGCTACTGAATCTCTGAATGTCTTCTGGCAACCACCTTTAACTCTCCTTTTGCATTCTGCCTACTGTGACTACTCCTGGATGCAATGGGCATCTCTGATGTTATACACACATGATTTAAATTGAAAAACAACCAAGTTCTATTTTAAATATGTTTTGACACATGAATCTTGAAAGAAAAGGCATAATGTTCTATATACTATAAAGGAAATGAAAGAAAAGGTGTAATGGAGAAATTTATGTTCATATGCTATGGTTAGAAAATCACCAGAATGAAGACATTGACAAATACATTATTCAGTTTCAATAACTGCATGGCACCATCAAATAGAGAAAGCAACTGGATCACTAGGGTTTGCTTCTCAGGGAAAACTACCAATAGAACCTGTGAAAGGTCCTTGTTGATCCGTGAACAGTCTGTAGTAAGAAAAAAAAACCAGTGCCCTTCCCACGGAAACCTCCTACCTTCCTAATTGATGAGTGACTAGTGATCAGCTTGACAAGACCTCAGGACCGACAAAGCGAGCATCCCAGTCGAGCTGTATCTTTCACCATGTGATAAAGAAAGGGGGATTCACAGTGTGTCCTTGAAGCGTAACCAAACCTAGAGTGAGTTGGGTAAAATAATTTCTGTTCAGACATACCCACATTCTTAGCAGGTTACTTTTGTTCTGTATTGGAATGAAAGGGCTACAGTCAGAAATTCAGTGGAATTCAAATTCCAGAGTATTTTAATTGTGAATTAAGAAGATATTTCAGTGTTGAACAAATATTTAACACACAATTCACCATAAAGTTCTGAGAAACCTAACAATAATTTGAAGGCTCTTAGTTTAGCAAAACTGAGGAACTATCCACTAGCCACTCCCGCAAGCCATTTTGGTGACAACTGCTGTTTCACTGGAAAGCTAATCTGTCAGAAGGAAAGCCCAAATTAACTGTTCTTTTAAGTAGAGAGGAATATAAATCCCAAGTATTTAAGTACCCCTCAGTGTGCATGGTAAACCTCCAGTTCCAGCAAACTCCTGCTTTACGTGTGGCAAGACAAACTTGAGACTAAGAGGTCGATGACCCTTTGCAGAGAACGTGAGGAAAACAGTCAGGAAGCCTTTCCATTTCTGGAGAACATGGACAATTGCTGTTACGGGAGAACACCTGAATGAATATATTCTGTCTAGAAGGTAAAGGTATTTATGGATTCTTCTACTCTGAGCAGTAAAAAAATACTTTGCAAATGTCTTGAGCAATCAGTCATGTTATACCCACGCAGCGTTCCATTTGTCTGAAAAGACTCTCACGGTTACAGCTGAGATACCTTTCCGGTTTGGAACCACGTAAACCTAAACATTCAGAAGGAAAAGGTTATAACAAGGAACATAACAATGTATGTTTTGTTTCACAGCTTGTGATAATGTAATTTCGGAAAGAAGATGAACAAGCTTCACAAAGTAAAACCAAAAAGAAAACATCAAATTAATGCTAAAGCTTTCTGGACCACAGCTATTTAGCTGTCTTTAGATTGGTATGGACTGCTGTCAGAGAAGTCTCCTCTTAAAAAAGTATGACAATGAAGTCTTTTTATGCCTGCTGTGAGTCTTAAAATCCAAGAGCCAAGTCATCCTTTCCTACACAAACAACTGTGGGTGTGTAAAAGGCCTCCTGAATCCACAATTTTAATTTCAGCAGTTTTCTGCAGAGTGAGGGAGATAAAGGCAAGTTGTACAATCACAAAAAATGAGAGAGAGAAGTACAGGTGGTACTAGTGAGGCAGAAACCCTGAAAGCAGTTAGAATAAGCCAGTGCTTAACAATAGCAGTGGCACCTGCTCTCTAAACTACCTTTGATAGCCAGGTAAATCCTACAGTTCTAGTGCCCATGGCCTGTGCTGTCTTCAAGCCATTGCTCACAGCCTCTGTATCTTTGCTGCTGGGGGAAAAACTCGTTCAGGCAACATTTGAGGAATGTGTCCCTTCTTGGCAAAGCTCTTAGGGACATACTTGTGGTCTTATGGCCTTTAAACGAGACTTAAAACACATGCTTCAAGTTAAGGGAGTTCCTCCAAGGTTTACTCATGGGGCAAAGGAGTAACTTGGAATATTTCAGTTGGAAGGGACCCACGATGATCAGCTAGTCCAACTGCCTGACCAATTCAGGGAACTTCAGCCTATACTTAACTGTTTTCTTGACCTGGGGATTGGATGTCTTCATACCTGTGACTTTCATCCCAGAGGCTGTAAGCATCCTCTTCATCCTGGGTCTGACTTGCACCATTGATGAGTATATGGCTGTAGTGGTCTACAAGGTTACTGCCTCCTGCTGTTCGCTGTCATCGCAGTGCCAGAGGTTTGGCCCCGTAATGTCAGCTGACTCCATTCACATATAACATATAGGAAATACATGAAACAAAAGGCAGGCATTTCCAGTTAGAAATTGATGCAATTACTGCTATTTAACCCATTCTGATCAACCAGATAAAGACTTAGATTGCACCTTTCCACTTCTGCAAGTCCATGGAATTAGTTCTGGAAGCTCAGTCGATACTTCTTTCTTGATCCACGGAGTTCCCATTTTCTTCTAAATTAGCCTTTAAGTGTCTGTAGCTATACCTCAGTCACTTCATGAGAAGCCAGACAGCAATTTTACTTATGCAAAACTAAAGTTCATATTTGTCACACTACAGCGCAGGAGTGTTTTTTTAAATTTTATTTATTTGAGATACTGCAGAGCTTTCTTATGATATACATTGATAGGGCTTCCGGTAGCAGGCTTTCAAAAATAATTAGAGTGATGAATCATAATCAGAAATAAATGACTCTTACATCTATTAAGATAGTTATTTAAAAAATGTTTTGATGAATCATGCAAAAATGCATTATACATTTTCATAGATACATTTTTTGGTTTTCCTAAGTCTTATGAAAAGAGCTTGTGCTTTTAACACTTGAATTGAAAAAATATTTACAGCAGACATCATAAATGCTACATTGCAGTTCAGACTGGCAAAGTGGTGACAGTCCCCTGCTTTGCTGTTCACAAAACACGCTGAGGGTTTCAGATCTGTTCTATAAACTCCCAGTTTAAAAGTGTTCAGTCCTGGATCTTCAGCACACTCCTTTTCTCCAAGTCATTCATTTCCTTCAGTATAAGAGCAACATTGTATCTCAGTTCTTGAAACTTTGCAACTGGCACCTGAAACAGAATATTCAGGTTAGAAAACATGAAACATCTTAAGAACTATGCCTATGGACAGGGAACATTCCAGACTGTTGGCCCAACCTCTCTTAAAATTCCTTTTTTTTGTTTTTTAGACTTAAGACAAAGGATTTGAGGTTAATAAAATTCAGTTAATTCAACTAAATCATCTGGGTGAAAAAGAAGAGGAGAGTGGGAAAACCCAGAAATAACAGCTACATAGTACATTTTCTATACTGCCTGATGTGATAAAGGAAGTACTCCAGAATGTAAAATGGTGGCTGCTGTGGTGAAGTAAGAGAGTTGTGGATTGGAAGGAAGGATAAAGACACCTGGAAGGTTGTGGAGCCTACAGAATTCTCAAGCAACAAATTCCAGATATTCTGCTTGTCCAAATGTGCAGGAGAAAGAAATTGAGCCTCAAAGCAAGAGGCTTGGCAGCAACCTCAAGAGCAAAGAGGACTGGGCACTGTCTATACATGGACGACAAAAGATTTTGATTTAATACCCAAAATATTTTCAACTGTGCAGGAGAAAATGGACCTGACTTTACCATTTCAAGCCTGAGAAGCCAAATTGATGGAAATCTATTATCTGTTAAGCCAGAGAACCACATCTGAGCACAGGCACAGACTGGGTGACGCAGATTAGCATTAGCGCAGTGCACAAACGCCTGTGCTCACGTGAGTACCAGTAGCAGTCTAGTTAGTCGCAGGCCACTCTGCAGAGCACTGCCTAATTTACTCCACTACTTTGACTACACTGAAGACTTGCAGTTCATTTGACAGAGTCCCTTGTCACCCTTCTGCCTACTGTAGCACAGATATCAATTATGTGAGAGGAATCCAACATCTGATTTGCATTTTCCATATGCATCAGAAATGCATAAAAAGGCATCATGTCCTTTTCACTTTTGACATATATAAAAGACTAAAATGCTGCAGTTCCCATTGCTTTTTAAAAAATCTTCATTGTCAGAAATCACACTGCGATTAAAAAAAACAAACCAAACCCAAGAGACCAAAGAGTGTAACTTCTCCCTGTGGCATACACATTTTAAAACTATTTATAACGGAATTATCTTCTGGACTTAACATCTTAGATAAGCCCTGTTAACAGGACATTTTGAATGAAAGGAAACTGAAGAAGTGAGGATGATATTTCCTTGCATATGGCACCTTGAACCAAAACATAGGTTTATCCCAAAGAGCTACTAATTGTGGGAAGACCACTCATCAGATACAGAAATCGTGTTTACAGCCAGATCTTTGGCATTCAGATCTAAGCAGCAGCCAAGAGCTGATTCTAAGAGAAGCACATTGTTTGCTATCAGGTATCTGCACTTCTGCACGTACTGGACAGGCACACCAACACACCTCCACTGCAGAATAGCAAAGGGTCTTCCACAGACTTACAACGAAAAAACCTAAACCCAAACCAAACAGGAACAATGCCACCAAGACTTCATATTATACACTAGGAAATAAAGCCCTAAATCTAAACAGTAAATAATATATTCTGGTTTTTATTCCCACAAGTGAAACTTTTACCCAATTGTAAACAGTTAACCTGAAGTCCATGGCATCATTTAAGTTCCATGGAAGATCTCAAACAGAGTGTACAGGATGCCCTGAGCTGGACTGTCCACAGAGGTGTGAATTGCATCTTCTGTGAAGTGACACCCTCACCACTTTGCAACATAGCACAGAATTTGTGCCTTCCTCAATAGTTACTACTAACACATGAACTGAAGCCAAAATCTTTACAGAGTTCAAATGTAACAATGCCTGCTGTGCACTGAATTCCTGTACGCACCACCATGTTATTTATAGAACAAATAGCATTCCTTTTCAAAGGTTAAAAATATGGAAGAATTTATGCCATCTTCTAGCAAGCCATTACGTACGGTGTCATAAATACTGCCACTGACTAATTCTGAAGTAAAAAGCAAAGAGTTTTTCTACTTTCTTGCTAACAGCAACAAGTGTACTGAAGAAAAAGAATAAACCTCTGCCACAGAAGAGAACGTTACCATTCTCTACCAAATGTAGGAGTTTGTATTGTATTTTTTCTGCCCTCAACAGCCACCATCAGGTCTGAAGGTTACAGTTGATAACAAAACCATAATTTTTAATTGAACCAGATATTATGCAACAGTGCTTTTCAGCAATTAATATTCTTCTAACAAATGAGGTTTCAGCAAAATGTGTGTAGGAACAAGGTACGAAATGATTTTGGTCAGTGTTTCATTATATATTGTATGCAGCTACACTGAACATGAAGGATTCCAAAGAAAACAAACAAATGATAACACATTGTTTACAAAAGCTTTAATATTTTAAATAGTAATTCAACTTTTTAGAAAGAACTTCAAGTGGTTTCTTTTCTATTTATTATGGCAATCAGACTTACTTCAAAGCGATGAGCTGTCCCATCTGAAAGCTTCATCATCATTAGAATGGATGGCTGAAGTGCACGGGCCAGTGAACTAAAATTATTTATGTTATTAGTATTACAACAATAGACATCAGCAGTGTGATGAGTACAGCATTGTACAGTAACAATTTGAGATGCTCATGTAACCTTTACATAGAACATGAGTAATTACCATCACAGAATCCTGTACCTGGCTGGCTGGCAACTCGTGAACACAGGAGTCCTGTCCAATTTTCCTCAGTATTGAGAATAAAAAAATTTTTTAATAGTTTAGCAACTGCCAGTTTAAGAGCATTTTCATTTTACATGATAATTCATTTAGTAAAACTACGATAGGGATAAGAGCTGACCAAGTACTGCTAGTAATAGTGCACAGTTTTCTTATTCAGTTTACCATTAATCCTTTCCGTCCCTTCATACTTTCAATTGCCATCTCTTTTGGGGAATCAAGTTCTTCCAGTACTCATCCTAAATTTGTGGCTTGTTATTTTATTTGATGACCCAAAGAGGGGAAATGAGTCATTCCTGTGCAGCTTCCATCAACCGATGTTGCCAAAGCCTGCTCAGGTACAGACAGGCGCTGAAGCCAGAAATGAAACCTCTTTGCAGAGGCTGTTGCTGGATGATAAACAAGAAATCCCAGGGGGGAGGTTGACTGGAAAGGAAAATAAGAGGACGGAAAATAGGAAAGGATAACGTATTTCTCCTGTGTTGTTCGAAAAACAAATCATAGGATTTGCCCGCAGCTTGCAAGCACTGTGCCCGAGGATGTTTATCTGTACATTTTCCTCTCTTATAAGTACAGATTTTTCCACATAGCGATACCTGTGTGGTGCTTACATCACTGCTCATCTGAGAGTCACCTGAACTAGTAGCTTGTGGGCATTACAGTTTTCACTTAGGAGTCTTTTTCTTGATTTCAGGAAGACTATCCGTGATTACCCATGGGCCTCTCAACGATGGCAGCAAAGAGACTGCACTCTCCCTCGGATGCAGGTAGTCATGAATGCAATATGAAGTCACTCATGCTAACAATTTATGCTACTGACAAATACTGGATCATTTTCCAATTTCTTTCACCCCTGTCTGTCTTGGTTAGAACTAGATAAAGACCAGGAACAGCACAGACAAGAGGTTTCTGTTTCCTTCTGGCTCTAGCTAAAGATCCATTCCCCAGCTGCCTCTGCTGTGGCAGATGGCAAGAAGCTTTTCACTGCAGGCACAGACAGGATGATCCTAAAGGCCTTTACTCCTGTTTTGTGAAAGAAACTAGAAGGTAGATCAATGACCAATTGCATAACTCGGGCAGCGCAAAGGTGATGTTCTGAAGCCTCTCTGTAGAATCTACAGCAGACCATCAGTTTAGTTCACATGTGCAACATACAAAAATGATAGTCTACTTGAGAGGTTGAATAGATGATTTCCCTCCCCTGCTCCAGCAAAACAGAGCTTGGCTGGCTGCGTGAGGCTCTATCTAGTTTATTCCATTGTCTCTGAGGATCTGTGGAGTTCTATCAGTGCTATTAAGTTTTAAAATATCGAGCGACTCAAACTTTGTGTAAAATGTTTCTAGCACAGAGGTTTGAGAGATCAAAACAAATAAGAAACCTAAAAAGTATCATTAGTAGAAGATGAAGGCAGCAGCCTGTTGGCAGGTCCACATTAACAGCAGTAACCTGTATATAAACTGACTTCCACAGTATCCAGGAAATCCCCTCCCTATCTTTTTACCCATATCCATTTAATACTACATGCAAATCCCTAACAGCAAGATATATTTTAACATCATTAACATTTTTAAGCAGCACAAGAAGTCAGGGTCATGCAGGATTCTCTTTTATACCTTGTCGATATAGCTACGTCCACTCTCCACTTGAAGTCCTGGACACTTGGCAGCCTACTTCCTTGTATCACAGCTGTGCCTTCGGAAGCAGGACGCCTACAGAGAAAATCGGAAATAGGAGACTGAAATGCAAATTCATAAAAGAAACAACAATCTAAAGAGAAAGTAAGACTCCTCAGAAGGCTTCTCTGGAACTTGTGGCTCTCCTACATCCATCCTCACTTAGAAAGGTCTGAGTTTCATGTACTTAAGACAGCTGGGCTTAGATTAACCACTTTACCTATGTTTATCTATGGTCCGTGTTAAAAAAAGAGACCAAGTGACTCTGTGTAATTCCAGTAAACTGATGTCACTATAAAGTTTAGTAAGAGTCATTGTGGTGGCTGGCGTATCTATTATTTCAATTATATGCAACTGTGAGGCATAGAAAGGCATCTGCAAATATACCTTTACCCGCATGCAGATCCAACAGAAACAAGCAAGCAGAACGAGACAGGTGACTTGAGCAAAAAAGTTGGAATAAGGCCACTGTGCTCCTTCAGCAGAAAGCATCTAGTATTAGTGAGCAGCAACATTTTAAAATATAACAATATTAGGGTGTACTTTGAAGCATACTTTAAAAAAAAAAAATAAAAAATCACACAGTGGTTCTTGCTAACCACTACAAACTCATAAGTACCTTACATAATGTTCACTGCAAACCCCAGAACAACCTTAATGATTTTTGTCTAGTCTAATGTGTAAGAAGCCAAGGAATTCATTTATTACTCATATTGCAGGAAGAACAAGGCCGATCAAGCCTCAGTTTATTTCTGCAAGGAAATACAGTTGACAGCGATTAAACTTCAGATGGTTGACAATCTTTAAAATTTTAACAGCATCTTAAGCTCTGGCTAAGTAAACAAGCCAAATCTGACATGAAGACATAACAACCACCCATTTTTAGATCTATATGCAGAAATATCTTCAGAATGAGGTCGCTGAGCTGGTCCATTCAGGAGCTAGTCTGGACTTCATGTTACTTACCATATTTTTATTTTTGCTAAGCATCCCAGGTCTCTGAAGTTATTTATGGTACATTTCAAAGCTACTCCAGTACTCCTGCTAAGGGCAGGATAAGAAACGTTACATCCTTTATCCATGGTGCTAAACATAATCTAATTACGGTCTTTACATCAGAAAGGAATCCTCTCTGAACAAATCAAGGACTGCAGGAATGACAGTCTAACATCCCTACTCAGATTTTTGTGTGCAAGTTAGCTGGTGCCTTTAGAAACTGCCCAGAAAGATTAATGATTTGATAACGGACACAGGACTGACAAGCTGAGATCCTCCAATACTCTTGCATTTAGCAAAGGCAATATAAGATAAGAATTTATGCTTTTTTTTGAGGTGGGGTGGGTGGTGTCAGAAGTGACACACATTCCTAATAGTATGTAAAGGAATGAGCAGAAAAAATAGATCAGCTGGTTCTTACTCACTGTCAACTACTGGATAGGAAATAGGTCACTGCAGCTGGGTGCAACCATGAGGAGCTGCAGTCTAGAACGGTCATTAGCAGGATTAAACAATAAGAACAGGCCTTTCCCTCAGTGGCGAGCTGCTGCCAGAGTATTGCTTAATTTGGGGAATACCTAAAAATAGCCACACTGCTACCGCTTCCTTGAGACACGCTAACTCCCATCAATGGAAGCACCAGCATTTGGGGGGAAGAAAGAGTAGAGAAAACAGGAAGATGTTCTAGTTAGCAGCGGTAGGAAAGTTCAGCAATGCCCAAACATCAAAGTTTCTGAAAATTGTTAAGCTATGGCATTTCTGTGGCCAAACCACAAAGCTTTAGTTCTGGTCAGGACCGCACCTCAGCACCATTCCTTCAGAAAGAGTTGCAGCTTTTATAGGTTAGTTTAAGCTTCTGTCAGCACCTTCCCAGCTTGGACAAGATCACAACTAGAACTGCAAAGAATCCTGTAAGGATGACAGAATGTGCATAGTGGCCAACATACAGACAGAACTTCTAGAGGCCATTAATCAAGCTGTTGATTTCTAAGAGGGATAGCAAAATGGAGCAGAAAAGACTCAATGGATCTTATATCCAAAACATATAAACTATAATACATTTTTTAAACACTCTGTGCGAACGGCTGCAATATAGTGTCAGCATGTAGTGCAGAAGGCAGAATTTGGATCCAGTAAAGCACCATGGATCAGCTAGAGACCATCCTAATTATACGTGGAAAGGATGATACACCTGGTGACAAGAACATCATCTGCCAAAGGATGCAACAGAAGAACACTCGAAAAGGAAAGATTAAATAATTTTGACCCAACAATATCAAAACTGAAGACAAATCCTGGATGGTTCCCTGTGCACAAAACACACGCCTAGCAGGCCACTGATCAGGGAGAATGAATACATCAGTATGTGTGAAATGCTGACAAATGGCACGCAGAACGCACCTTCCTTGTAGAAACTAAAGCTACGCTATTTAAAAAACAATGCAGTACATTTATTATAAACATTCAGAGAGGGGGAAGTTAGGGTTATCCTTTCCCTTAAAAAAAAAAGTTTTAATTTCATGCAGTTATTTGATGGTGTCAGTGTGGCAAGTTTTTCTTCCCTTTCAGTCTGTAGAGCTTGATGGAACTGTGGGGACAGAGAAATACAAGTGACAAATTTCCAGTACTTCAGAACTGTTGTTTAGTGAACAAAATTGCAAAAATAGAATAAGATGCCAGAAAAAGTATTAAAAATGGATTTTTCTGGGTTATCTAACTCATACTGAATTTTTGATCAGATGCTAATACTTCTCTTACCATCACAATCGTATATATTTACAATACAATAAGCATATATATGATTCAGCATTACATTTAAGATTATAAAAGCAGATCTGTCTAGAAATCAAATGTGAGGTGCTCTTCTTTGGTCTCAAAACACAGAGCAAGATTACACTGGATAATCACAGCTTTCAAAATGAGAAAAAGCTAAATTTTCCAGCATCGTGATTTCACAGTAGAAAACAGACAATCATGCATGCTTCAAATGACATCTAAATTTATCTTCTTTTTCCACTGCAAACAATATTTCCACTTTGCAACCATGAATTTTGCATTCTTAACACCTATAATTCAAACAGAAGAGCAAAGAAAAGATGAGAAGGCTGAATTTATTTTTACTCCAAGAACCTTTAGCTTTAAGCCAAGATCTTAACCAAGGAAATGAAAAATATTTTTAACTTTGGTAGCAGCATTCAAACCCTTGTGAGGGTAACTGAAATACCACAACTATGATTATCAAGATTCCACGAAGAATATCTGGAGCAGCACTGGGTTAGTGATGCTATATGCTGAGTGCCCTCAAGTTTCAAGGAGCAAAGTTTTACATATGCAAAAAGTTCAACCAATTTCTAGATGTAGAATAAGCTAAGTATGGTCGAGCAGAGAACCATATAGAAAAAAGGAATCCTTAGAATGGACAAAAGAGATAGGCTTTTCAAAAAGTTCTTGATTTAGTACTTCCTCTGGAGTTACTGAGGTATACATACTGCTTAGAAAATGAATTACAGCTAGGAGAGCACTTGGTATCTCGTATGTGTCATCAGATCACCCAGTGAGAACTCCCAATTCAACTGTACTTTAAGACTTGAATAAGTGCTATCTGAAAAAGCTTCTACAAACTACAGCAGGTAGAAGGCATATGTAGTTTGCCTCTCAACAAACCAAGTCTCTCACTTTTGCTCTAACTTGCAATGATAATGATGATAACAATGTTTAATTCTACGATGCATTTTTCATCTGTAGGTATCGATGCACCTACTGAGTCTATTAAATATTATAAAAACTGATGGGTGATGACCACAGAAAAATTGAAAATTGGCATGAAAGCTACTTACTGCATATATAGCCATGCATGATGGACATCATATTATGTTGAATCAAAATAACAGGACAAATCTTGTTCTCATTAATTTAGAGAATTTTGCTGTTCCTTCAGTTGGCCTGGGATTTTTGTCAGCAGAGCTCTGTGCAACCCTGCTGGTTGCACAGTGCATGGTACATGAAGATACTAACCTGTTACCAAAGACTATACTGGAAAAGTCCACGATGAAATCTTCTGGTATCCTTAAAGATAAGAGCAATACAAAATAGTTAAGTGTTTTGTAACCACAAATATATGGCCTTAGCTACAAAAAAAAAAAAAAAAAAAAAAAAATCTATTATAGAACACAAAAAATGTGTCAACATTTTCCATCTTCCATTGCTTAAAATTGCCATCAGCTCTTACCTAAGCACTTCAGTATTGATTCAGTCTAGGCTCTCAAAAGGACAGCCTATGTTTTTATAGCAAGAACCCTAAAAACTCTATTACATCTTCCTGTCATACCTAGTGTGGCAACAGTGAGTTTCAAGAGAACCCAGTATTTGCTTGATAAAGTCAAGAAAAATTTTACTGATAGCTCTGACAACTGCAGAAGGCAGGCCAACAACGCACACTTTCAAAAATCCCAAACTTATACTTTTCATTTCCCTTCACCTGAAGTCTAATGAAAAGATAACAGAATAAATTGTTTCCTCAAAAGTAAAAACAGAGGCCATTGTAGCTAAGATGACTTACAAAACAGGTGTATCTAACATGGGGAGGACAAGCATAAATTTGATAGGGACCATGAGAACTGGTCGAATGGACTAACTCACACTCCATCTGCCCTATGCCTCTCCACTGCTTTACCATTCCTCTGACACTGTTGATTTTCAGTTCAATATATCAGGCTGTGAATTGCAAAGACTGCAGAGCAAACACTATCCATTCAGCTGCCTTTCCCACAGGGACTGTAACCTCCTGCAGAGAGGCAGGTTGGACAAGTGGGAGAAGTAACTACTGCTGCTGCCACAGTTAAATCCAGCACTCAACATGAATCAGTGCCCAGAGACATTACTCACCAGTGGCTTGAGATACACAGCGGTATATCAAAGAAAAATCAAAGCAAACAAGGAAGTTACCTGTCCTAAAGGGTTTACAGTATCTAATGATGGGAGAAAAAACAACTCATCAACTCACACAGTGGGAAGATGAAACAACAGTTATTAAAGCTTGAATTCTTAATGGAAGAGGTAGGGTTAAAACACATTTTAAAATGGTGCTTGGATAAAACTGAATTCATATTAGCAAGGTCATTATCTGAGGCAAACTGGGAAGTGAGGAGGAGAGACTAGACAGTGCTTTTTTGGCTGCATGTATCTGTCTTTCAGAACAGATGAGACTATTTCTGCAAACATTACTTACACTTTCTGTGCAAGTGTATCACTTAACCCATCCTGATGATGACCAAATATCCTTTGTATGTAGTGGAATAGCTGGAGACAAGGAGTTGTAATATGATTATTATGACACCTATCACAACACTTGCTCGACTGAAAGAGCAAGCGTTATTAAAAGAGAAGCATTAATGCTACCTTTGAGCTTGCATTATTTTTGCTATGCAGTTAATGATTTTGCTGAAAATTCTGTTCCTGGCTCAAGCAGCTTACAGGAGGCCAGACACAGAACATGGCACAGCTCAGGCCTGAGCTACAGATGGCAATCAGTGTTCAAAGAAACATTCTGAGGAAGAGACTCAAAGGGCGAGGAAGAAGGTGTGAGGATGTCTCAATCCCATGTTATTGGCCTGAGCCATAAAGTTACTAAATAACCTGAGAGAGGAGGGGAAAAAAATAGCACCCATGATTTAGAGTGAATTTATTCTCACTCAGGCCAAGAATTAGGGGTATAGAACAGCAACCCTGTGAAACGAGTAGTATTGATCTAATTAATCAGAAGGGGGCATGTCTCCCAGCCTCTCTCTCCACCAAAACGAGAAGCCAAGACCAGACGTATCATCAGGAAATTGAGAATAACAAGACTGTATATGGGTGGAATTAGTCCAATATTCAGCTTCACTGAAGAAAACAAAATAGAATGCAGGAGAGGTGAAAAAAAAAAAGGTAATCTGGCTCAGAGCTCAAACATTTTAAAAGAAGACACAACAACAACAAAAAGGAAATAAGCCATTTTTCTGCCTTAAAATGCAAAATACCTGCCCGAACACTGGGTGCTAATAATGCCAAGACACTGCTGTTCAACCAATTACATATGTTCTTCAAGCACATGATCACAGGATGACCCACAGGAGTCACCACAGAAGGATAAATGTCTGAATGTAATTAGTAGATGCCTTAAAAATGAGCAGGTATTTCATCTCCAAACCCAAGTGCGTTGGGAACATAGGAAATGACATTTCCCACAGGAATTGAAGATACTAAAGGTGCTACCAAATTTAGTAAGTATCATAGCTTGAGAGTAGAATAAGCTATTTAGTCTTCTAAAAGTTTAGCCACAAGGTGAAGAGGTACTCACAGGAACTAAGATTGTCAGAGATGGAAGTTAGGAAGAGTCCCAATAATGTGAGAATCATGGGAGCATAGCAGCTACGAGCAGCACGTAAAACATAAAAGTCTGCAAGCAACACAAATGCAGTTACCTGAACTATTGCTGCTGTATCAGTCATGCTAACAAGAACAAGATAAAAAAAGATTTTTCAAGATATAAAAGATATAAAAAAGATCATCCAGATTGAAAAGTGTTGTTATAGTTCCATGAATAATCCATGAAGTGAGAAAAAAAAACCCAAATTACAAAAGTGTAAGGCATTAAAGTGTGGTTAAATGACAAGGACAGAGGCCTGGAAGTCTGTATTTCCAGATACAGCCAGCATGCACAGCCAGCCCAGTGACTTCTGGCACCCCTGTATACCAACTTTCACATCACTGCTCAACACAGCAATATTCACCCACCCCTAGAGAACGTGGCATGGAGCTTTTAGCGCTCTTCATTGTTCCTTAATCACACTGAACACATTCTGCATGCACCTCAAAAGACACCAACTCCCACTGGGTCAAAAGCAATTCATCAGTTTCTTACTGACCTACTTTAACCTGGGTGTGAAGTCCATGACGTGGCAGAGGAAGCCGTTTGCATTTTAGCTCACAAGACAAAAGGCAGACCAAACTCCAGCACTGAGCCGCAGACAAAATTGTTTCAACTAGCCGGGCACCTTTCATCATGGCCCCAATTACACCTTTCACCGATTACGTGTCTAAATCTGCAGCTTTAATTTACCTGAAGTTGCTCATAAAGTAAATTATGCTTATGACTCTGCAGAACAGAGTCTGAGAAGAAAGCCAATTGGCAGGTTAACGGACAAATAAGGATGAAAAAAGACAGAATTAGAAACATATCTATCTGTTTGTCCTAGGTAGCAATCGGAATGCTAAGAATTATGGGAAATTAGCATTTTCAGATAATTGGGCCTTGGCATAGAGGTTTCTCTATAGATGAAAATATCAACTGCTGTTATTCTCACACCTATGAAGATTATTTGCATCTGATGTTTAGCTTTTAGGGTATGAACTCTATCCAGAGATACTCTGAACAGACCGATACAGGTTTTGACTAAGTCTGTACCAAATGCTACGCTTTCTTGGGTAACGGGCAGGAGGGATCATAGCTGAACACGATGGTAGGATTTCATGATCGTTATATCATCGGCCTTTCAAAGAAGAAAAAAAGTAGGGCAGTTTCTTGGCTTCTGAAACATTACCACTGTCTTACCACACATGTTAAAAAAATATTGCAGGGCAAGGTGGGGATGGCAGAGAGAAGGTCACTCACATTTGCATAACCTACATTACGGACTAAATTAGACCAACCTCCCCAGCATGTGAAATTTACTGCTCATGCTCAGTGCTAAATCAAGTCTTACACAGCACCTGTTTTTTTTCATCTGGCTTCACATGACATTTGGCAACAGATGTATTATGTGCTATTTACAGGTAATTTTTATACCATCTTTGTTGTGTAAAGAAGTTGATTTGGGGAAGCAGTTACATAAAAGTTGTGAAAAACCAAACATATTAAAAAAACAGGCATAAAGAGGCATACCTGAGCTCCTTTAGGTCTTCCTTAAAAACCTAGAAAGACAAGGAAGATGAAATTTTACAGGATGTGGTCTTGAAAGATCATTTCTTACCTAGTGAATTAGTAGTGGTTACTTGCTTGGTATCTCTCCCCAAAAGTTTTAGTCTTGAGTGCCAGTAGTTTTGAAATGGCAGGTTCCATATTGAGAAGAATTTCCAGAAGTATTCAATCAAGGTATGAAAAACTAGTTTTAAAGACCTAAATCTCTTGGAAGCCTTTATTTTTGAAAACAACACCCCTGCCATTTCTTTTATGTAGCTATCTATAACATATTCTTCTTTTAGAGTAATCACATGCCCTTATTCTCAAATATGTTTTGCAGTAACTTGTTTAAACTATGACAACAGAAAGGAAGTGGCAAAAGATAAGCTCTGAATACCAAAAGCATACTTTCACTATGTTTCCTTAATATATGAGCTATCCCAGCATGCCTGGGTAAATATGAAAACAGTGTCTTAAACAAGAGAGAGGTGCCAGAAGCCCAGAAGTGGTTCGCTCACATAAAAATAAAATGAGAAAAGAAAAAATGTAAGGTAAAGTAACATGAAAAAGGAAAGAAAATAGCCATCAAAAAGCAATAGGGGTTGGGAAGATGGTAGGTGTATACATATTGACACAGAACTTTAGCACTTTTTCCCAATTTCCACTATATTGTTCTGGCCATAAGATCTTCCTTCCTCTGTGGCAGAAGAATGAAGAAAGGCAGGCAAACAAATATGAGAAATTGCAAGTGTGGGCAAAATGAGCGGTATGTGTGAACATGCAGTTAGGGTAACAGAGAAAGCTGATGCAAATGAAATAATAGTTTGCAATGGGATTTTAATTTAAGAGTGAAAACAAACATGCACAGTAAACAAGATGCTGAAGCAGAAAAAGATACAGGAATCTCTTTTTCAAACCTAAATATTCTTCCAAAAAAGCTCACTGTAAATCTACACAAGTAAAATAATAAGCTCTAGACCTTTAACAGTTTCTTCCAACCACTTTAACTTGGAGCAACATTTTTATGTGCAGCTACCCAGCCTGGTAAATAGGGTTTAGATGGTAACTCATGTCTGATGCAACTTTTAACATACTGGGACTCCAAGCACTCCCAGAACTTACCTCTTGTTTGAAAGTTGATAAGGGGAGTCTCAACGCTTCTCGGAGAAGGGTATACATGCCAGAAATTAGAAAAGCAAGTTGCTCTTCTGAGAGATCAGTGCTTTCTGCAATCAGCTTGACAGATTCCTTGCAGTCTTTTCCTTCTAATGCATCAACAGCGACTGTGAATAAGAGAGCAAAGCAATATCCCTTTAAAAAGAGGAACACCTGGAGACCATGAACATTAACATAAACACATCTATGATTTTACTTAATATACTGCCATTTTTCCTGATGTGAAACTGTTACTTCAGGTCTCTGTAAATACACCTGATCACCCACCAGCACATGTCAGTCTCACAACACTTTGCCAAGACAACTTCAATGGATTAAGCTTTTGCATTGCAAAAATGAAGACCGTTTCACTGTTGAAATTTGTTCCAGTGAGATAATGCAAAAAAGATAAAACAATTCATCACTTATGAGTACAAATCCAACTTGAGCTTCTATCAACAAACTTGTTCACATCAGAAGTCTGCTTACAGCTTAATTACACTTCTGATACCCAGGATAAGAGAGGATTGAGAGAGCAAACAATTCAACACTGTTCTCTAACGTTTCACTTAATTAATTTATCTTGCAATGACAGAGACCAAGGATTAAAATGAGCAAGAAGACAAAACTAAACCTTCAAGTCTTGTAGTTTGCACATCTACTGCTAATACAAACTTTAAAGGAAGTTACTGCTAACCCATGTGGCAAGATTATACACTAATAACTGGTGTGGGTTTATCTCAATCTTCATCACTCGGTTATTCTTCCTTTTTCCATATATGCACTGGCTGATATAAATTTCTGTTGTCATGTCAGGTTCTGTCCTGCACCCTGATCAGTCTGGATGGACTGCTGGAGCCACAGGAAGCCCCACTGTGGATAAAAAAAAAAGATTACTGACACAATCCAATTGCAGGATTGAGGCATTAGATTAGTTGTTTATAGTGAGCCATATTTTGTGCTGTGAATAAAACATGAGAAGTTAAAACTGTCCAACAACAATTACTGAAAGTCAACACTAAGAGATTAGCTTAATACTAAGGTTGGGGGAAAAAAAAAAAAGTGTTAATCAAACTGCCAGAGTTTCTTTCGGTATCAGGTGGGTTCCACTGACTACTATCCTCTAATTCTGGATAAATTCTCTTTGCTTTTCACATTTTTAAATACACACCAAATTTAGTGGCAAGTCCTGGATCATTCATGTGGCTGACTGACTCTGTCTGGCACTATCTGCATGGCAGATTTCACACAGAGTAGCTAGGATGTGTGAGGTGCTAGTACCAAGCCTTCCACACTGTCTGAAAAAGGCTCTGCTCTACGACAACAAAACTGACTTTGAGAAGAGTCTGTTTATGGGAAAGGCCAAATACAGATCAGCACTGAGGCCGGTCTACTAAATCATGTGCTGAGCTGTCTACTTCTTACTTAAATACACCTTTGATCTGCCTCTTCAAAGAACAGGTTACTTACAGTTTTTAACTAGACAGCTTTAATGACAGTATCATTCTTTCTGTTGACCAACTTTAATAACTGTTTAAAAATCCATGTCTTCTTTTATAACCTACTTGCATTACCCTAGAAGACAAGATTTTTGTACTCAGTATAGCTCAGGGAATTCAGATATACCAGTGGTACCAACCTTTCCAACAGTCACTCCGAGGGAGGAAAAAAAAGAATAACCCAAGACCATCCCTAGAACACCTCACGGCTGGGTCACTTGCTCCTAGTAGAAGATGCTTGTGGCCTCAAACTTGCAGTTTAGCAGAGACTGCAATAACACTGGCTGCATAACCCTGAGATAATGGTATATGCAGTTTTTACATCGTGAACTGAGCAGGCATATGAAGCAGCATCTCATTTTTGGTATCAGTTATTATTTAGAGAGAGAGTAACAGCAACAAGACTTGAAAAACTAACTTGGTGCCAGTGGCAGAGCAATTTAGATATCGTCTGTTGAAATCTGTCACCTCTTCAAAGACTTCTAAACCTTCAAGGGAAAAAAACCACTGTCCTGCAAGCTATTAATCACAGACCAGCAAGAGCAGAAGACAAGTGGAGATTTCTGCCAGCTCTGCGTAATCTGGAGGCTGTCTGCATCCACTTTGGGGCACCTGGGTGAATCAGTGTGGCAGGGTTACCTGCCCTGGCCTGGCCTGGCCTCAGGTGGATCTGAAGGACTGTTTGCTCCCCCTGCAGTAGGCAGCATTTACTGCACACCTAAGCGTAGGTGATAATTTATACCGAAATTAAACCCAGACGAGGTTTAGGAGACAGTCAGGTTTCCTGGCACTGATACAACTTTTCACTCTCCCTGCACTAGACAGCAAATATGGTTCAACATCTGTATTTACTTTTGTCCCAAATGCCTCTGCCTATACAGAGCTTTATTGCTTCCAATTATCGTAAGGAAACCCTGGATACATTGCTCCATTTCTGACACCGTGCAGACTTTAAAGACAACCCAGCTACCAGATGCTTTGAGTCCTTATTGACTCAAATCAAGAAGAAAAAGGCTGAAAGCAAGTTAGCTGAGAGAATGTGCACGTAAGGGTGGCAGCACTATGCCATGCTATGCAGCAGCTGCTCTCCTCAGCTGGCCGTGCTTTTGCTCTGCTTCGATTATTCTGTGATTATTTTGCATACAATAATTTACTCAACTGAGCAACACTGATTTTGGTGGTCAAAGCTGCCTTGAGAAAATCTCGCCTGACTTGCCTTACCACAGGGAGAAGCCTCGCAGCCAAACATCAAACAGGTCGAGCATTTTCAACCTTACAGCCCCAACTTCAGCAAGACACCTGCACTTCGAAGTTCCTTTATTTTCTCCTGCACTTTATGAAAACATCCGTGGGGTCTCGACGTTCACATGCCCTACACAACCTGAAAAAGCCACTGGCTCTGGGACCGAGGAGCGAGAGAGGAACGATTTTAGCAGTGCTCAGCGTGACTTTGAGGGCCACCCACAGCCGTAGCAGCCCATACCTCATTCTCAGGGATTTTACAGAATTTTAGAATACAACCGTGAAAACCTTCACTGCATTTAACCCTCAACTTTCGCCTCCTGCAGGGAAAAGCAAAGGGAAGCGTCCCGGGAGCGCTGCAGCCCTGCCCACGCACGGCAGAGCAGACCCTCCGGCTCTCCTCGCCTTCCTAAGCGGAGCCACGGCCCCCTCGAGGAAGGCGGCGCCTGCCCCTGGGGCGTGCCTGGGAAATCCCCCCGTCCCTCTGCGGCGGGGCAGCGAGCG